TTTACCTAGCACACGAGAGGTGATATAGATTGATGCCGACACATATACATACTTATATATATATATATACATACAAATTTACATATAATATTATATATATATAAGATATAATAATATATATTCAAATGTTTGCAATTCTGCAGCCGTTCGATCTATTTATAAATCATATCCCGTTTACGCAGAAAATATCTACTTTTTCGCAGAAAAATGATATAATTTATACAGTTTATAAAAGTCATGAGCGCTGGACTTGCTGGCGAAATTATTACTTGAAATTATCGATTTCGTTTTTGCTCGATTTTTTCGGACACGTCGAGCAAAATGATTTCGACGTGCTATTTCATTAGTGGCTATGTGTATACGTAGACACACACCCACACGCACGCACGCGCGCACGCATGCACGCGCGCGCGCGCACACACAGTATAGTATATGTATATATACTATATATATAATATATATACTATACATAGTATATATATATACTATATATAGCATATAGTATATATATATGTGTGTATGTATGTATGTATGTATATGTATATATATATATACACATAGCCACTTTATACGTAGGATATATATATAGAGATAGATAGATATTATATTCGATCAGCATTAAAATTATACTAGAGTTACTACTATAAGAACTATATACAAGAGTTAACCAATGGATAATTGTAAATAGAACTCGCATTAAATTCGAATTTAATAATATAAATAAATAATTGCTGCTTTTCTATGTGATGTAACATGCTACATCTTTTTAAAGATATATTCTAAAATGATGTATACCCTTCCTTGAATTATTTTTCGAAATAAAATGGCCTGTTGCCAAAAAAATTTAATAAATTACGATAAAAAATCTCTTAGTATTTTCAAAAGCTCAATGTTTTATCATGCCAATGCCATGGACAAACATATTTTTCAAAGTTATAGCAAATTGCATAATACAAACATCAGCTAAAACGATTACGTAGCAAATCAGTCAAAATCAATGTTTTATCGTGTCAATGCCGTGGACAAACATATTTTTCAAAGTTATAGCAAATTGCATAATTTACAAACATCAGCTAAAACGATTACGTAGCAAATCAGTCAAAAATGCAAAATTAATTTCGATTATATAAAAATTGTTTTGTGTTTCTAAAATTTCGACTATGGTTGAAAAATACGCTTGTCTATTGATCGCTTTCAAACATAATTTATGCAAAATGGAATTTTAATATAAACTGTACACAATCGCAGAAATATTTAAATGAGAAAATTCGAAAAGAAAAGGAATGCAGAATTAATTCTTATTTTATTATATGTAAAATATATCGTATACGAAATAATGATATCGTATCGTATACTAAAATCTTTCTTTTTAAATTTGACCAACATAATGTCTCAGTAAGATCATATTTTATTAATGTAATGTCTCCTAATGTATTGTTGTAATTTCACATTTGTCAAAAATAATTGTATAAATTTTGGTAATTAAGTTCGATATAAGGATTGTACCAATATACAAGATATATCGAAATATAAGAATTTCGTAATAACAATTTTAAAAAATTTTTATCTCTCACTTATATATCCTACAAATCTCACGTAAAAATCTCATCTCAAAGTATCGTCTCTATTCCTGTATACGAATTAAAAACTATGCGATCAGTCGAATGTGCGACCAAACATAAACTCTAAATTAGAAATGGTATATTTTATGATGCCGCTTGCAATATCGTAATCGTCGGCTACTTAAAAGATCTTAACTAATTAAATCCTTTTAACTTTAACAATAAGAAGCAGTCTCTCTCATAGGGACACAAGGATTACCAACTGATCGTGAATTCCAGTCTGAATCCAGCGTGATATGTATACGATATTCTCGGTATAATGACAATAATAAATAATTATATTTAGTATTAGTAAAATCATCGAGTAATTACATTTAGTATTAGTAAAATGCATGTTTGACCAGATTGTACGAGTATTGCATCCTCTTTCGATCACTTAATCAGTTGATAATCTCATCGTGTAAAACACAAATTGTATATACGTTGTACATCGGTTAAACATAATTCTAACGTAAGTTAGGAAAATAGTGCCTCGGCAGATCCTCTAATTTTGATCAGTCTACTTTACTCATCTCGCATGATCGGCTTTACGTATTTCTCCTACGTGTTTCTAATCAATAATTCGACTAAGGCCTACAAATCTAGAGTGCTTGCTCATAAATATGATATGTCGAGTAAAATGTAATATGTGTATGTGTATGTGTATGTGTATGTGTGTGTGTGAGCGCGCGCGTGTATATAAATATATCTATGGGTATGATGATAGACTTGAATGGTGTAGCAGAATTAATTACATAGAGTTGCATATGTGCCGGCATCGGTGTTGCTTCAATATTATATTACATTTTGACTAAGTTCCGATATGAAAAGAAGCTGATAGAAGCGTCGTATGTCCTGATGATGAATTTCGTAAACATACTTAAAATTTTGAATAAAAGTTCTTTGCTCGAACGTATTGTAATTCTCGTGTTTCATAGTTGCATGTATCGATATAGTCGCAATAACGGCACCGACACAGCTCATCAGACTTTATGATCAAGTTTACAACTAATTATAATTTCCTTAAACAGAAATGAAAGATTTCCTTTGGGATTTCCATCGAAAGAAGACGAAATCATTCCCTCTCGAGACAATCATTGGAATGTGTAATGGCATTCATGCGTTAGTAACGTAACGATCTTTTTCTATTTCTCTTTCTTCGACATGATGTCCATAAATCTCGGCCCGGATATTAATCTCTTGTATACGGATAAATATATATCGATCGTCAACAGTCTGATATGAAAAATTCGCTAACCGTGATGGAACGCATAAACATTTATTCTATTAAGTTCATTTCTCTGTCGACATCTTCTCCAACTTGATAAAATGCCCGAAAACGTTCGTAAAGTGTAACTTTTAAATTCCGATGATCCTCGTCCCTCTCTTACATACTTCTTATTGCACTCTTTTACATTCTTATTGCCTAAAGATAAATTGCCTCTCTTTCTTCCTCAAGGAACTCTTTTTACATTCATTCCAGTTTGACGATGTCATTCATTGTTTGTTGCCAACAATGATAAAACTTTAGCAAAGTTTTCTCAAGTAGATTATAGTGATATTACACTTTACATATGTTTACGTCAAGACATGTGAACTCTTGTAGAAAATAATGTTCTACATTTTAATATACATGTCACTATATAGAAAGTTAGACGCACACATGTTTATACATGTAATTTATCGTAAGCTTGAAGACGATTAACGTTAAAAATGATAATCTCTAGAGTTTTTATGTTGCAAAGCTGAATATCTTCCATATCTTTTTTCTCGTTCAAAAGTCTTTATTTAGGAATCGAGATTTCACACGGCAGCGTTTATGTTATATGAATCTTGCCCGACTTTTTATTTGTTGAATTAACAGCCTTCTAGCGTCTAATTAGCAGATGTAGTACATGTTAATAAATCGGCAAAAAGCGGAAGTACTCTGACTATACCATTACTTTTCCTTCATAGGGGAATGTTTTCCGCACGTGAAACCAACTTGTCATTTCTCTTCTCACCAAAACATATAAAATTGTTATATTATTATAATTTATTTGTATGTAATAAATATTTATTACTATAGTTTCTGGTGTGATCAAATTTGAATGAATATGTATCTTCCGCAAACTATATTCAAAGTTATATTCAAGTTTCACATTATGTATCGGTATTATTTAATCCATAGATCAAAAGAACAGCTATTCTATAAGCGTGATGTCTCTCTGGAATAATAATTGAGATATCAAATTGCGTTACTGATATATCTCTAATTAATGTTTCTTAATATATATCATATATCATTACGGATGATTGCACATCCTCATTAAAATTGACACGTTTCATGGCGTAAGCCTTATTAAAATAGTTGCACATATGTGTGTGTGTGTGTGTGTGTCCTTTGCTTAATACTTGCACAACGGTAAATATATCATCAAAGATAAGATAGTAGAGTAATTATATTAATTTCAGAATAACTTTGCGCATAAAAACATCTGTGTCAGCCAATCTTGAAATCTTTCATTTTGCTTCGTTCAAATATTAGCATCATTCGCATATAGCGTTATTCGCCACATTCTATAAAATAGGATACAAATATATTTTGATCCAATTCCAAGCTATATCTGTATTAGCAAATTATGAATGTTCTGTGCGTTTCAAATATGCAAGTGTTCCCAAAAGACAACAGTGCTTACCTTCGTTATTACTTAAGATATGTCACTTTGTACAAAGTCTCATTTTCTAAAAAATTTTCTCTTTTTGATCAATAAATTATTGACATGTCTTGAACATCATTTTTTTTATCGAATAATCCTAAGAATAAAGAATTAAATGATAGCATATTTCCTCTTTTATCTCACATTTGAGATTATTCTTTTTGAGAATTCAATCGTCAGACAACAAAGTACTATACAGTTTTCGTATGTAACTATAAATTTTTATCTTCAGATACGTGTTGCTAATACTTTTTTCTACCGATGAAAAGTTTACAAGAAGACAGTATGAGTATGAGGCAATTTTAAAGTTATAATGCTGGCGATCAATAATGCCAGTGCAGTCAACAGTGCAGGCGCAATTAACGGCGCACCCACTAATGTCTGATATGTTGTGGTTCCTATCAGACCTGATGTTCTTATAGCCGCTGCTATAAGCCCAAAACCGGTGCACCTATAGGAATACATTAATAAATGCTAGTTTCTTTTAAAATGATTTTCATCTTCTTTTTTTATAGTCTTAATAGAGATTTTTAGGTTTTTACCTTAAGTGTGTAGGGAAGCTCTCGACTGTCACCAAAGTTAATGATGTCCACCCAATAGCGAAAAGAGCTGTAAAGCCACCTTCGAAACCAAGAATTGCCGAACTGTTTTGACGAATGAATATCAGGGATAATGCAGTAACAGAAGAGAGGAAAAGCGAGAGATCTGATTACAAAAAAACAAGTCAGTTAATTAAAGTTATATTTGAAATCTCCTCTACTTTCAATGAAACTACTCTCCAACTACTGACCAATTAATTTTGGCCGTTGGAGAACGGTAAGCGCCAATCCCGCTAGTGCGGCAGCAGGCACAAAAGCCAATTGAGCAACAAGGTGAGCATGCAATGCCTCTTCAATATAAATGTTATAATCCAAATCAAGAGTCGGACAGGGCCCACTTAAACTCAGCTCTGTGTTATTCTCCAATTTACATCTGGTGAAAACTTGTGCAGATAAATCTGTGTCAACAAATCTGTAACAAAATATATATGTATGTCCAATTATATTGATAAAAATTTTTTATATCGTATCGTATAACTTTGTTGCTTACTTCGAATATACAATAATACTGTCTCTAAAATGGGTTTTGCTAGACTTAATACTACTAAATTCTACCGATTGGAAGGTACAATTGTCAAAATCAACGTGACTGAATACCATTTTAGTAAATCTGCAAAGAATTTAGAAATCATGTTAATACAAGAAAATAATTATCCGTTATAGTCTCACTGATTTCATTTTCATATATCAAGTGAATATAGTGTCCATACCTGCAGTTCGAAAATGTACAGTTTTTATACTGACGATTTTCCCAAGAACCAGTAAATGTTGTACCATTGTGATCTTCTGTGTAAAAGTGTTCAGTGACAGCTTCATATTCTTTTGCTCGCAAAAGCTTCAGATATTCGGGACACCATATCATAAGACCGTAAAGACTGAATATAATATAAACAAAATATATTTGTGAAAGCCTTAACTATTGATATAATCATTTAAAAAATTAAATTAAAACTTACCTAAATGAAGCAGCGGTCCATATAATTAACAGGATTAAAGTCACGCGTAAATGAGGCGTTGCAAATAATTCGAGAAAAGAATTCCAGAACTGTGGGTAAAGAAATATATTAAATCCTAAAGTTTTTTAAGATATGCTCAAATGTTTAATCTTGGTGGAATATTTACCATTTCGATCGAATATATTATGTCTGCCAAAACACTAGTGTGATTACTAGGAGATGGCGGCGCCAAGCCGCGAGGTCTTTTAGTGGGAAGTTCAAGTTCAGAGAGCTGATATTGAGCACCTGTTGCACCTTTTCGGGCGTTATTCTTATATATCCTCTAAGACATTAAATTGTCATGACGTATAAACATTCGGTATTAAGAAGCAAAGTTTATTATCGTTTACGTTATACATTTTTATTTCTTTACCTGATAAACCATCATTGCCTCTACATCTCGACCAGCCTCTATGAGATACCTTGGACTTTCCGGTAAGAAGATAAGACCAATCGTGGAGCACAACGCCGGCAGACAACATAATAACAAGAAACGATGCCAAGCGCTAAAGTGTTCCTTATTTTCTAAGACAACCATTTCTCCCGTCGTAGGTACCACTGCCCAGGCTAAGAGTGCTGCGTAGACGCCACCGAGTGCACACGCTGCCATTAGTATACCCGTCCAACGACCTCTACTTAATTGTGGACAGCATTCCGCGAGATATACAAATGCCAGTGGTACAGCTCCTCCCACTCTGTAACAGAACAAATTGAATAATATGAAATGATAACGATAACACGATTGATAATTCTTGTTCTCAGAAATACAAAATCGTGTATTTAAATTGATAATGAATAGAAGAGATTATAGTTACCCAAGAGCTGAGCAAAATCTAGCCGTCATAAAAGTGCCATAAGTGGGCATAAACGTTGCAACGCCACTGAACAGAGCATGCACAGACATGGCTGAGAGAAGGGCTCTGCGTCTTCCCAATCTGTCACCGAGACCACCCCAAAATAATCCACCCAGTGCAAGACCGACAAGGGTAATATTTCCTAGAAAGCACATTGTTTAATATTACAAGATACATTTTTGTAGAAAACATAATAACTCACCGAGCCATCCTTTTTCATTGTCTTCGATGCAAAGCTCAACTTCTGCACTTGGCAGTATATAAGGTACAACGAAAAACTCAACAGTGTCGGCCGCCAAACTCAAACCTGTGCAGAAAGCCGCAAATATTTGGAAATAGCCGACACCAGCCTGTAACATTACGTTCCATCTGTCAATACTTTTATACAAAAAAGTTTTGTATTGCAATAATGCAATATTATAAAATTAACATTTGTCAAATACTCACAAGTAGAAAATATAAAATATAAAACAAACGTAACATATAAAATGTAACATTTAATTCAATTATTGTAATCAAAAAAGGAGATTTTTTTTTCATTATTTTAACACACGAATGAACACAGATTAACGATAAAAATATCGATTTTAGTAATTATTGTTCAAACGTGTATCCGTCTTTCTTTGCTCCGCGGCGAGCTCCGAGCTACAGTGTAACGTCAACTAAAGAATATTTACTGGGAAATCCTTCAAATAGTCTGGTACTTGACGCGGTACGTATTTTGCCTTCACGATCGACTCATCCAGGGCTTCATCCATTTTGTCAGGGAGAGAAAAATGCTCCGGTTCGCTGGCACGAGAACAGAAGTCATTCACTTGGAGCCGACGAAATCTCGCCCGCGAACGACGCCATTTCGCCGAGGTTATGTTTTTGTTCCGCCCAGCATCCCGCGATCTCGCGATGCTTTTGATGCCTTTGTACGCATCTCGCGAGCTCGCGACAATCGACAGTCGCGACAATGGGGATTCTCGAATCTGATCGGTACGATCGATACGGGATACGATTGCTGTTCGCCAAGTTAATCGCGTTCGAAATGACTTACCGCGTAAATTTAGAATAAAGAGATAACGCTATTTTAATTATTTGAGAATTTGTGTTATCACAATTTATTCCACCTAATAGAATAGGTAATTTATTTTCGTGTATCGAGTTTGTGTGAGTCCGAAAGCGGTTAATTCGAAGCCGTGACAATCTTCCATCTGCAATCTGAATCTTTTCGTCCAACTCAAGTTTTTTTATTATTTTAGATTTTCAAAAAAAATCTGAAAAAATTCAGGATTATTTTTAAATATTCCTATTATATTATAAAAAATAATTTCTTTAAAACTCAAATGTTAAAGTTTTTGTTTGACAGGAATTTCTTTATTTCGAAAGGAGAAGAAGAATTTTCGACACAGTATAAATTTTGCAGCAAGATTGCTGCATTGTTACAATATTGCAAGATTTATATTGTACGGTTGTACGTTGAAATTTCACTTGTGTCAAGAAAAATCCAGATCACAGAGGATTAATAAAGATTGATTTCAGATAGCAGTCTAATGTTAATTTGTAGAAATTGCGCGAAAGATCGGTCTTGGATTTGAAAGAAAGCGGAGGCAAATTCTTCTGAATTGGGATTTCCATATCCATGAAGAGGGTGAAGCCTCACCTGTTTGATGGCGTCCTCGTGAAACTGCGCCAGAAGAGTCGCGTCCGCGGTGGAGTCGATGAGATCGTGCTCCGCGGAGTCGGCCGAGGCCGAGTTGACGCCGGCGGTGGCGACGCTCGCCGGCTGCGTCGTCATCTCCTCGGTGTAGAGACCGGACCTAGTGCTCGCCCCACGCTCGCCAGCCCCTGTTTTCGTCGCGCTGCCGCCGGAGGGTGCGAGACCGCCCCCGCTGCCAACGAGCCACTGGCTTTCCTCCTCCGATGAGGGCATCACTGCCAGAAACCATCTGGAAATGAGATTATGGATAACGAGACAATGAGCCGGACGAGGCGAATATCTCGTTAATCTCATCCTCGTCTGACGACGATGGGATCCTCTATCCTACCGGTATTGCACGCTCGCGATAATTACACGTCCCGCGTCTCTTAGGATAAACGGCTAACGTGTCCCAGCCAATTCAATTCCGGATGCTCTTATGGCGGACTGAACTTGAAATCGCAGTGTCTACAACGATGGCAGAGAGATAGGGCTCTGCCTTTCTTGTTCTACGCTAGTGTAGATAAGATAAAATGAGCGAGCCGAGATAAAGGCGGGAGCGCTGAGTCAATATTGACATTTAGGAGACAAAGCCGGAAGTCGAAAAGAGGACGAAATGAGAATCGAGGCGAGAGCAATTTGCCGAGAGTAAGCTAATTTTCCACGATGGAGGCACAGAGATTGTATGGGTGAGGTATCTAACCGCCGCGCGTCATCTCGACTTTCGCGGCCGTCCTTGCAATTTATTTGCTTTCGCGACGCTTCATTTCACTAACGATACTACATTAAACGGGTGACTTTGCGTCCCGAGCGGAGCGTGAAAAACGACCCCGGAGAAGATATATTTAATAATTATTATATAGTTATGATTCTTTTATCTTATTGGATCAAGCGTTGCTAAAAAAAAATCTTGACGATGTCGAACAATACATAGACTAATTGTAAGACTAGACGACACCTGTACTACGTATCGCGGTATTCTAAGGTTTATCGCACGTTACACGTGTTTGGAAAGGCATGCGTCACGTCTCCGACTATAAGCGCGGTTCACTGACCAAGGTTCATTCTGTACGATATTCGACATACGTCATAGCGACAAGTGAAATATTCAACATTCGCGACTTTATTTCATACTGGCGGATAACCGGCGATAAACAATGCGATAAACGAATGATTTGCATATTCAGGAGAAATTGAGAGAAATTTGCGAAAGAGAAATTTGTATTGCATTTACATATCGCAAAAGTAATCGCAGTTCCTGCACAAAGTTAACGTACGAAAAACATTTTATCTCTATAGACAATTTTATGACGGCAATTTATTACGCGTCTTTTTCTTTTATAGATGATTTGTTCCCGACATGATTCCTCCATTTGATTCATGCATTTTACGGCGGATTTGCAATGTTACCGTTGGTCTTACTCGCCATCAGCCATCAGTCACGAACGAAATAGCTGGAGCAATTTTCGCGTTTACGTTTACTTTCGTGGCTATAATTCAACGTTTGCAAGCCCGAAACACGCGGAGGTCGCGCGTCCTACCAAGGCTGACTAATTCCCGCAATTGATGCAAGACCCGTCGACAATGCGCGTAGGTTTTCTCTTTCGCGTGTCTTTACATACTAATTTATCGACCTGTATCGAACGTTATATGACTTTCAGTACGTGTATAGAGCTTGATGAAAATTCTAACATTATAGAAAGATTATGAAATGTGATATGTAATAAAAGATTTGAAATCTGCGAGATATGTAATGGAGCTTCTTTAAAGTTACAAAGTATAATCTAAGACGCAAAGTAGTATATAAAATTGTGGTAAAAAAATAAGGCATGTTGCGGGAAGACCTTTGTTAACGTTTTATTGGCCGTGGAGCGACTAATGCTCGCCCTTATCAGCTTTATCTCTCGTGAAAAGGTGCGGTATTACGTCAACGGTTCCCAGCTGTGAAGAACAAAAAGACGGTGCTACGTCAACGATCGCAAAAAAGGCGTTAAAATTACTCTTTGACCCTCGCGAAAGATAATGCCGGTCCTCCCGGACGCACACGCGCACGTTAACACGTCATAGCGTGATTCGATTTCCGCCAACTTTCCGCGGATGGTGTGCTTTACATTTCGTGAAACGCATCGGCGCTTTGTATACGGGCGCGACCGCACATGTATGCGATTTATCGATCCGAAACCGATTATATGGTTCCATAACGCGCGTAGACCTGTGTATACACTTTCTGGAACACGTGGTATATACATATGCGCACACATGAACACGTCGTGTGTGTGTGTGTGTGTGTGCGTGCGTGCGCCGCATGTATGCACGTGCACGTGTCACGTCACCTCGCGACCGCCAATGTCGCCGACAATCACGGCCGCGCGGCGACTCGCAGTTTTCGCAGTCCTCTATTTTCTCGCCGTTAGTTATTTTTGAAACGCGACCGCGCCACGCCGCACACTGTAGCGGCCGTCACTATCGGCAGGCACTAGCGTTTTGTCTTTACCCGCCTTTACTCCAAAAGCGCCTTTTATAGAAGAAATATTCTTACCTCCGGCGATTCTTAGACCGGGAGATGTAAGAATATTTCTCTGAATATATATACTTTTTTTTAGATGTGTTAAGTTTCTGTTGCATGTTGAGCTTAATCACATTCATATCTAATTTTCAATTAATTTTTGAATTGGTTTTTTACAGATAGAGTTTTTCGAAATCTCTTTCTTCAAGTAATAAAACACTTGACTATAATTATTTTAATTTTACATTTATTTTTTTCAGATTAATTTTGGAATTTTAGCTTTTTTTTTAAAGAAGCATATTTCTAGAAAAATCTGTTTTTTCAATAATCAAATATTAGACTAATTACTTTGAAAATTTTATATCTGTTATAAACAGATAATTTTTAAATAGATTTTTTTTTCTTACATAAGATACGTCTTTTAGATAGGTCTTCTTCTTTTAGCGTCTTCTTCTTTTAGATTTCTAATGAAGTTTGTCGCGCAAATAACAAAACTTGCACCGTCTGCTTCATCTCGATAGAGTGAAATCTCATTTAAAATACCAACTTGTTAAAAGATGACGTTACAAATTGGGCAAGTCTCGACGAATGACGAATGACATCCTGCGTTTTTTGCTAAAGAGAGACTGGCTCCGAATCTCATGCCAGAAATTCGCCTGGGAAACAAATCACGCAATTGCACACACGCGATATTTTATTTTTTTTCTTTTTCACATTACACGAGCGACAACCTTCGAAGAGACCTTCGCCTTGGAGGAATCCAGGTAGCGATTTTAATTTCAATCAAAACGTCACGCCGAGATGCGAGAAACGACATTTCAATTTATACTTAAACAAGCTGATTTATCTCGCTCGGCGTCGATGAGGCGAGAAAAATAATATCCGACAGCTAATTAATGCGTGACGGCGCGTGATGTCTCGATGTCTATCTCTGGTAACGCGCGGTCGTCCGGGTAATGATTGCGAATGTACGATTGCGTGCTCATTATCGCTCGTATTCGACCGTATTTTGCGCTGCCAACACATATGCGCCGCACGTGGGACTAACACGATACGCATAGATAAGTGCGAGCGACGAATACGAGCCAAATGACGACGCGACGCGACGCGTCGCGTACCGCGGAGGGAAGCGCGACACGCGATTTATAAAGCTTTATTCTTGGACCCGGCCGCGAGAGTTCATCTTCGCTTCGTGCGATTATCGCGCGGAACTGGTCTGCATGTGTCTGCGTAAATTAATAATAACTCGGTTCTTTCCGCTATAATTAACAACGCTCATTAACGGGAAACGAGATCGGAATTAGAAAAAATCTGCTTATAACCAAGACCCTTGCCTTCAAAACACTGGGCTGTATTAAAAATTTCTATCTTGCTTGTCAAACTTCGAATATATATGTATTTCGTTTTAAGTACAAGTGTGTACTAGTTTGGTTACAAAGATCAAATCTCAGGTGATTTTAAAGTGTTAAAAAATTTTAAAATATCTCGTAAATTTATTTTTTGATAATCATATTTTAATACTTTTGTGCACAAATCGATTAATGTGGAGAAAGCATATCGTCATTAAAAAAAAAATGTTCATATTGCTAATTGCAAACTTTTTTAAAACAATTATATATCTTCTTCGCGTCATTTGATTCATCTCATTATTTTATGCACAAAAAAATATTAACATACGATTATCAAAAAATGAATAGTTTGAGATATTTTATGTCAAAAATGAATGAAGTATAAAATATCTCGTAAATTACTGACTTTTTGATTTGTATCCTTAATATTTTTATACCTTAATATTTTTACATCTAGAATAACTAGAGCAATCATTATATTATGTAACAAAAATTGATTAAAAAAATTTTTTAAATCTTAATAATTGCATCATTTGTGCATGAAATGATATCATAATTATGTGATCCCTTCAAAATTCTACAATTTTTACGAAATATTTCCTTCTTTAGTGCTTGATTGACTGATTTATTGCGTGATTTACAAATATTTAATTATTTAAAATAAAATGGGATAGGACATTTTTACCAATGTAGCTCAACTTTAATCTCAATGTAATTTACTTTTTATTTTTTTTAATTCAACGTCATTAGAGAAAGATAAGGAATACATTAAATCTGAATTAAAATTAATCCATGTTGATAGAAATAGATATATATGTTCATTTTTATTATCTATTAATTTTAATCCCGATTAACTTATATTTTTCTTTTGTATTTTGTATTTTGTATATTTTGTATTTTCTCCAATTCTTAGGAAAAGAATAAAAAATAAATTCAATCAAGATTAATCTATATTGATATTAATGGAACAGCGAGAGAACTTTCCGAATCCAATATAACATTTCTCGTTCTTCTGGGCTTTCAATTAGTCAAACTCTCGTCAAGGTCGGCTTATCTTTTCGCGCGCCACTTTATTTGTTTGGGCTTTGCAGATAAAAGAGACCTTTGCAAAAAAAGCCGCGTGAAGAGATATGTATATATAAAGCGCAATCGGGAGAAATAGATGCGTATGCATGTCGTCGCGATCGAGCGTGAATTAAGTCATTAGAGCCGCTTATCACGGCGTTCTTATCACGCCGCATGTAAATCACCCACCTGGTTGATAGGGAGTCGCCGTGAAATACTGCACCTTCCCGACGATAATGCCGTTTCTCCCGTTTGCACCGATTTCACCGATGAGGATGGAGAAAGTCGTTCGCGCCAATTCTCGTCGATTAATTCTCGTGGATCACCGGGTTATCGATCGAGAGTATCGGCCACCGATTCGACACAACGAAGAGAGATGAAGAGAGAGAGAGAGAGAGAGAGAGGAGGGAGGGGGGAGGGGAGTAG